TTTGGGTGTTTCAGAGGGCAGGCCCTTGAATTAAATCTCAATGTACCAAGAGGGATTAGGTATACTCAGTCCAATCAAATGCATTTTTTCTACAAGTTTTACATTATGAAAATTTCAAAATATTGGAATTCTGGGAGTTGAAGTCCACAAGTCTAAAAAAATTGCTGCCTCACCAGCTATAAAACTCACTGCACGTCACTGCTCTTTTCCTTGTTTTCTATCACCTAGCTTTTGTTCCAATATTTTGCAATTTTCATAATGTAAAACTTGTAGAAAAAATGCATTTGATTGGACTGAGTATACCTAATCCCTCTTGGTACATTTAGATTTAATTCCAGGGCCTGCCCTCTGAAACACCCAAAGCCCCCAAGATCAGATTGGCTCTGATCATCCTGGCCTTTTCTAAACCATTGAAGACCTGGATGTGCTCTGTGGCCTGGGCTGGGGAGGTTAGATGGCCTATTAGAATGCTTGTGTCGATTGCTGTTTTGCTTGGTGTCTGTGGTAATTTTTATCCTTTGCTAATATTTTTGGGTTTTAAGGTGTTGTCAGCTGCTCAAAGTCACATTTATGAGATGGGCAGCCACATAAATAGATTATATAAATAAATATAATAGAGCTGTCCAAGAAAATTTCAAAGAGCCACTAACCGACCTTAGAAGCTGTAGACAAAAATGTCCCTTATCGGGTGCTAAAGCTCAATTCATATCAGACATGTGTTCACACAACCACATGGAACTGAAGTTAGCCGAGCCCAAACTCTGTCTCTGATTCTGACTTCATATCCCAGTTTCAACCTTGTAAGAAATGACATCCCAACAAACAGAGGCCGTTTAAGAGTATACAATGGCCGCAACCAGCCCACACCTATCTCAGAGACTTAATTTGCTTAAAGAAATATATTCTAATTCGGTTCGCACAGTTCAGTGGATTGCCTTGAATAAGCTCCCTTCGGGCATCCTTAAGGCTGCAACCTTCGGTGGGGCTCAAATACGCTGTAAGACCACACTGCTAGTTAAGTGCTCGCGTTTTCAGAAACCTTGCCACTTCTTTCTTCAATCTGACTTTTCTCCTGGGGCTGTTCTGGGAATCCATCAGCATCACTTGATGCCCATCCCTTATGGAGGGTCTCCATCTCCTCCCACTCTTTCCCATCTTCCTCCCAGGCACAGCTTCGACCACCCCCATAAATCACGCCACACTTACCAAGAATTTTGCTGGAGATAACTTGCACTTCTCTCTAGGGCTGAGTCTGCCAGGCAAAGAAAATGGTCCCTTCCTATTCAGAGCAGTTTCTGACCAGAGGATCCAAGCCAGCTCATACAGATTTGATTATATTTGCATCCTGCCTGCCTGTGAGCTGCCTGGTCCAAACAGCGCTGGCCTTGCCCAATGACTTGGATTCATGTAGGGAAAACATCTGTGTTTTTTTTTATTGTCGTTGTTGAAAACCTTGAACTAGGAGGAGCTATTGGGGTTCCTAGGCCAGCCCTCTCCCTATTGCTGCCATCCCAATTTCCCATTGATTTTTCTGAAATGCAGGGTTGCATCAATAATGCAACAAAATGGGAGCGGGGAGGAATATGGCATTAGACCACATTAAAGTGGTTTGATCGGAAATGAAATGCAAAAGACGGCAGACAGAGAGGCAGAGCAGCTCATCTTGCGGGCAAGAACAGCCGATAGCCAGAAATGGGACTATATTATTGAAGCCGCCCATGATCCACAAAACTCCTGGATTGGGAACGGTTGGGATTTGGGGGGATCAAATTGTAGTGGTTGTCTTCCTTTCTTTGCAAATGGTTCCAGTTGGTGAGGGTTGGGAGGGGAGAGGTCACTCCCCAGGGCTCTGCTACTCCTTTTCATATCATCAGTATGGAGATGATATACAACTGTTATCAGTAGTGGGTTTAAAAAAATGTTACCTCCGGTTTTGTGGGCGTGGCTAGGTGGGGGGCATGTGACTGAGTGGGCATGGCCAACTTGACATCACTCATGCATACTCAGTCACATGACCCCACTACCACCAAGCCACACCCATTGAAACAGTAGCAAAAAAATTTGGAACTCTGACTGAGGGAAGGGGTAGGGAAAACTCCAAAAAATAGACCTCCGGAGGATTTAAGGTGTGGAAAAGCCATAAATTTCCTAGAAGGAATCAAAGCATTCAACTTTGCAGCCCTGATACCACCCCTGTGTTTATAAAACTGACGGATGAGTGAGAGGGGGTGAGAGAACAAGGGGAAGGAAAGGTTGGGAAATAGGAAAAAATGCAGGCGAAGGTGCTGGACTGTGCAAGCAGGGTGGGAGTGTGGGAGGAAAGTTTACCCAGTCCTGACTTGGGACAAGGAAGAAGAAGAAGAAGAAGA